TGATGCACGAGCCCGACAGCCCACAAGGTGCAAACTCTGAAGTCTACAACCACTCGACTGGGTCTTCGCGCGTTGCACGCGGCATGCACCGGTTGGCGGGAGTGGACGGGACGCGAAACGCGGTCTGCTTGGCTGCGTGAGTTTGTAATTCGTTGCAGGAACCGACCTCCGGTTTAGCGCTCGCATTCGAGCAATGCGCGATTGTTGTATGCAAATTTGTGGTAAAAGTACAGTATCATGGGCTTCTAAGGCGAAATGTGCAAGGACATGCGGATGCATCATGTGGGTACTTCGCACAGGATTTCTCCCACAGAACGTTATTTTCAGGAGGCAGGCGGCTTTTTCCGTGTCTGGGAGCATTTCAGGTTCCGTGTAGTTCTGGGAAATGTCGAAACCAGACTGGCGGCCAGGCTCGATGCAAATGGCAAAGTGACGGACAAGGCAAGCCGGGCGACGGAACATGCAGAACGGTGCAGGTGTTGATGCACAGCAGGGGTGAGAGAAAGTCTTGTGGCATCTGTCATCCACTGTGCTGCACGCCCCTCGAGAGCCCATCTCACCAGCAATTGTTAGCAGCCTTGTACATATCCAATGAAGCAATATTTTTCGCCCTTCGGGCTCATGCCGGCCATGCTGGTGATGCTAGCACCACTGGTGCCAGCCGTCAAGTTCGCGCCGGATGCCAACACCTCCGTGCTGGAAATGGGTCTCAACCCTTCCAACAAGGCAGATGTGCAGCTGGCTCTGCTTGCGCGATCTGCGCGTGCCTCCGTGCATGAGGAGGAGCTGCAGATGGATGCAAGCCTGTCTGCAAAAGGGAACCCTGTCGCTGCCGTCGGCGACTTCTTCGGTGATGTTGTCGATACTGCTGGCGATGCCCTGGGTGGTGTTGTCGATCACGCCGCCAATGCCATCCAGACCGCGGCGAAGGTCGCTGCTGACACGCTCAAGCAGGCAGGCATGACAGTTGGTAGTGCCGCGGCCAACGCAGCCGTGATCGTTGGGAAGCATGTCGTCCAGCCAGCAATTACCAAGATCTCCGACCTGCCCGAGAACATTAAGACGGCTTCCAAAAGAATCGGCGAAAAAATGGTGGTCATGGTGGACCTGGTGGACACCGTCAAGGATTTCGGGGAGCTTGTGGCGGACACAACGGTCCAGTTAGCAGGGGACGTGTTGACCGGCGCCAAGAAGGCCGTCGACGAGGGCGAGAAGTTCGTTACGGCAGTGGGAAATGAAATTGCAGATCAAGCCAAGGCCCTTGGCGGCGAGGTTGCCAAACTTGGTCCTTTGGTTGCAGACCTTGCCAAGCAAACTTGGGACGAAATTAAAAAAATCGTCACATGCTTAGGGAAGCCGACCTTGTGTGACATTCTCATCGGGGACCACTGCGACTGCGCTGAGGGGAAGAGCTACGTGGAACCCTCCACGGATGGCTTCAAGATGAGGTGCGTCTTCACCACGACCTCGGAATTTACAGGCACGCATCGTCTTCAGGCCTCTGCCAGCACCAAATTCGATGGATCGAGCGGCACAACGGTGCTCCCAGGCAACGAAAAGGTCAAGGAGGCTTACACGGCCGCCGGCACGGCATTGAAGTCGAGAGAGGCCTTAAAGAACCGGAAGGCGAAAGCACCAACTGGCTCTTGCGAGACCGATTTGCAGGTGGCCTGGGACGGCGCAGCGCAGTTCACGCCGGACATTGAGGTGAAGATGGGAATCGATGGAAGCACCGAGATCAGCATCAAAGGCTGGGTTCGTGGCGAAATCGATGCCCTTGTGGAGGGGGAGGGCAGCTGCACCTTCCACGCCCAGAGGGGCCTCCCAAAGATCCCGAAGACCAAGGTTGTTTGTGCAGGGAAGTTCTGCCTCGTCTTCATGATCCAGTTCGTGGCGGAGCTTGAGATCAAGGGTACTTTGACGGGCACCATCGAGACCTCGGCGGCTCTAGACTTCGAAATCGAGGGCAACGTAACGGTCAACAAAGACGGCAAGGCCACCTCGCACTTCAAGACCATTGGCATCAATCATCGGGAGGGTTTTGCCGTCGGCGCGAGTGCATCCACTTCCGTTCGTGTCGGCATGGGGCCGGTCTTCACTGTCTGGCCCGTGCCGGGCATTCCCATCAACTTCAACGCCATGATGAACGCGGAGGCCAAAGCTCTTGGCACGATAGAGTACAACGTCCCTCCCAGTCTGCTCCAGGAGGACTCCGGAAAGCACGTGAGCAAGGCCCAGGAGGAGAAGGACAAGCAGTTGGATGATGTGAGCGACTTCATGAATGCCACCAGCAATACGCTCGGACTCTGTGTTGCAGCGGTGCTAACAACCTTCGCCGACATCGACATTACCGGCTTCGCCCTGCCGAGCGGCTTCCGAGCCGTGCTCAACACCAAGAAGATCAAAGAGGAACTGGGGAAAGCCATGACGAAGCACGCGACTGCGCTGGTCGAGGTGATCGCTGGTCCGGAAAAGTGCGTCACGGGCACGAACACGATTTCAGACATCATCAACTCCCAGGCCAAGAAGGCATCCAGCAAACTCACGGGCCTCATCCCGGATCTTCATCTGGACATCACAATGAAGTCCATCCAGCTGTTGAAACCCCAGAAACTGTGGTGCAAGGAAGTCTACAAAACGCCAGGTTTCGATCAGGCTCCCTGTGCGGCCACCTTGGGATGCAAGTTTGCAGGCCGTCCACCCCCGCGGGATGTCGAGGCGCCACCACCGGAGCAGGTCACGAACACCTTGTCCGCCACCGCCAGTGCACCGTCGTGCCCGACTGTGGAAGGTTCCGTGAAGATGGGAGATCGGTTCATTCAGATTGGCAGCTTTCGCCTGGGTGCCGTTGATGACGACACTTCTCCGTCCAGCACGAGTCCGGCTACACCGCACAGATCTACAGGAGCGATGGCACAGCGCATTGCGCAAACCATCGGCCTCGTAAGGATTTTGGCACCTGGCACAGGGCGCTCGGACCTGCTCATACTTCTCGTGGGATCTCCTTTGGCTTCCAGTACATCCAAATTGGTAAGTTTCGCCTCGGTGCCATCGACGACAGGCATTTGTCGCTTTCGCATGAAAACGGCAACACAATCATGATCTTCCGCCATGACAGAAAGCGTTTCCTTGGGAAAAGGAGTGATTGGGGTGCCTGGGACCGTAGTGAGGGTGCGCCATTCGGCGTGGCTTTTGGTGACAGATTCATCCAGATCGGCAAATTCCGAATCGGCTGCCAAGACTCCAAGCATTTGGTTTTGACCCACACCTCGAACACGGTCATCCAGCTCTACCGAGATGATGGCACGGAGCATCCCGGCGTCGGCAACCACTGGAGCTTTTCAGTAAATCGACGTGGACCGGCGCCGTGGACCTGCCAAGACATTTCGGAAGTGGCCTATGGCGCTTGCGATGCCGACTGGGGTGCCTTCGGAGATAGGTTCATCCAGCTGGGAGATTTCAGGCTGGCGGCGATAGATTCTACACACTTCTCAGTGTGCCACAGAGACGGAGTGGTCTCCATGATCTATCGCGGGGATGGAACCCTGCACGGGGGCCCGCGGACGGACTACTGCTCGTGGGACAGGCCGGTCGGCTTTCCCCACGGCATCACTTTCGGTCCGGGTTTCATCCAACTGGGCAATTTCAGGCTCGGCGCCATCGACGACGGTCACCTCAGCATTGCGCATGTGAGTGGACAGACCAGCCAGATCTTTCGGTCGGACGACACTCTCCACCCCGGACCCCGCACTGATTGGACCGCATGGGGGCAAAGTGCAGGACCGGCAGCCGGCATCACCTTCGGGGACCGCTTCCTGCAGCTCGGCAAGTTCCGAATTGGAGCCCACGATGAGAAGCACTTGGTCGTCACTCACAAGGACGGCGTGGTGATCCAGCTATTCCACTCGAATGGGAAGAGGTATGATGTGGGCGGCCACTGGTCGACCAGAGTTAACGGTCGCTACCCGCAGTGGCACTGTGGCGGAATCCAGGACATCATGGGCACCTGCCCTGGTCTCGCCGCAGGAGACGACTTCCTGATGCTGGGAGACTGGCGCCTGGCGGCCCACGACAACATCCACTTCACCATTAGCCACCGCGCCGGGCAGACGCCGATGCTCTACCGGGCGGACAACGAGCACTTCGGGGGACCTCGAACGGGTTGGAGTAGCTGGAATAGCCAGATCGCCGAGATGAAGGACGCCAACCACAGGATCCGGTTCGGCGATCGCTTCATCCAGTTCGGCAACCACTGGCGTTTGGGCGAGTGGAACTCGAACCACTTCAGCCTGTCGCACAGCAACGGCAACACTATGATAATTTGGAAGGGTGATGGCTCGACTCATCCCAAGCGGAAGGACTTCGGCTTGTGGCATCGGCCTTTGGGTGCGGCACAGGGCATCAGCTTCGGAGACCGCTTTGTGCAGATTGGCAGTTTCCGGGTTGGAGACGTGGATTCCGTGCACTTCAGCGTCACGCACGTGAGCGGCAAGACCGCGCAAATCTTTCGCGATGATGGGCACCTGGGCTAATTTGATCAAGGATCACACATACTCGTACTCGTATGTGCATGTGTGTATGCATGCATGCATGCAGGTGTGTATGTATTTATGTACGGATGGATGGATGCATGTATGTGTGTCTCTATGTATGTATGTACGTGCTTCCATACATGTGTATATACATACACACATACATACATACATACATACATACATACATACATACATACATACACAACTACATTCACACCTACATTCATATATACATTCATACAGACATACATACAGACATACATACTTGCATACATGCATACAGTTCGTACTGATGTGCAGTATCGGAATTTACTGTTTTATAGCCGCATGCTACCACAGAACACTAGCAAAGTATACCAGCATAGTATGACCGAACAGTAGACTCAGCATATGCCATGACGTCCGAGAAAACCCCAACCCTCGGAAGAAGCTTTTTGGACTTCAACTGTTTGCTTTCCCGGGCGCGCCCCACGAATGGCGGACAGGCCCTCCGCGTCCGCCTGTGCAAGTTGGCCAGTGTTGGCCAGCAGCGAAAAGATCTTGAGGGCTGCCGGCTTTGAAGCTTGGGGTTTGGGGGTCATAGATTAGGGGTTGGAGCTTGTGGGTTAGGGATCTTGGGTGCAGTGTGTTTTGGGTTAAGCGCTGAAGCCGCGCTTTGGCTTCAGCGCTTTAGGAGGGTTGTTAACCGCTTTGGGCACTGCAACTATTGGGCGCCATATACTGCCGATGCGCTCCGTCTTGGGAAAACCGGGGAGGCCTTGCAGTGGCCTGGACCATATCGTCAGTTGAAACTGCGTCTATTGTGCTCCGAGTCTCGATTGGTGTATCAAAACGCCTGCTTTGCTCTGGTAAATGTGTCTGACAGAAGGATGTTTCATGAGCTCTTTTCGGCATGCTCTCCCGATTCAAGGCTCTTCCCCTCTACAGAACCTCGCCTCCTGCAAGGCTGCGGCCAAGCCCACGGAGGCCGCCGGACGGCGAAGCACCGGAACGAAGCTGGCCGGAAGATCGCCTTTCGCTGTCGATCAGAGCTTCGGCTGGAGGATTTGGGGTTTAGGGCCGTTTAAGGTTTAGGGTTTTTTGGGGTTTGAGGATTTTGGGATTTAGGGTTTGAGATATTGGATTTCGGATTTAGGGTTTAGGGTTTAGGGGTTTTGGGGTTTTGGGCTTAGGGTTGGGCCCTCAAAGGCCTGGCAGCAGCTCCGGCAAGGCGGCGTCGGCCTCGAGGACCACGGCGCCACCTGGCTCCGACGGCACGGAAGCTGGAGCGGCGAAGTCTGTCTGATGCTTAGTAGGGAATGGGGCAAGGGGGTGTAGGGACTCCTATAATGGACCTCAAGGGACTATCATAGGGATCCATTCCCCCATTCCCTACTAAGCACCAGACAGAAGTGTCAACCCACTATCCCTTTGTGATCATACATATGTTACATATAATGCCCCGAAACCCCAAGCCCTGTTGAGATACCCATTGAGCCCTTTCGCTGAAAGATGCTTGGCCTGAATGCATACTCTACATAAAAACTCGGGCGCGGGGAGAGGAAGGCTCTACTTCAAAGGATCCTGGGACATAGTAACTACGGCTATTATAAGGGGAACTATACTTATAACTACTTATAACCCCAATTAAGGTACTTATAACCATACTTACTAAGTCTCATGATCCTCCAAGACCCTAAACCCTAAACCCTAAACCCTAAACGCTAAAACCCTAAGTCCCATGATCCTCCAAGTAGGGCATCGTCTTCTCCGAGCGGCAGAGGGTCTCATCGGTGTCAGCCTCGACGCTCCGAAGGGCTCTTGCCAAGGAGGGGCAGCCATGATTCCTTCAGGGGATTTCGGAGGCCTGGAGCCGCCTTGAAAAGAGTCGGGGGGTTACAAGGGTTTAGGGTTTAGGGGTTTGGGGTTCAGGATTTAGAGAGTTTAGGGTTTAGGGTTTAGGGAGTTCAGGGTTTTGGGTGGTTCAGGGTTTAGGGTTTTGGGGGGGCAGCCATGATTCCTTCAGGGCGGTTTAGGATTTAAAGAGTTCAGGGTTTAGGGAGTTCAGGGTTTAGGGTTTAAGATTTGGAGAGTTTAGGGGGTTAAGGGGCTTGAGTAGGAGTTAAAGAGCTTAGGGGTTAAGGGGCCTGAGCATCATCAGGGTCTTGAAAAGTCCTAAACCCTAAACCCTAAACCCTAAACCCTAAACCCTCAAGCCTGACGTCCAAAGAACGCCGGGTTTCGGGAAGCCTTCGGGTCTTAAGCTCTGTTTCCGTGCGGTCGATGCAGCGTTGAGGGTTGAGAGTTTAGGGTTTAGGGTTTAGGGTTTAGGGTTTAGGGTTTAGGGTTTAGGGTTTAGGGTTTAGGGTTTAGGGTTTAGGGGTGTAGGGTTTATGGTTTTTAAACTAGGAGTTTGGAGCCTTCTAAGTCGGGCCTAAGACTGGAAAGGCCACGTCCTCCCAAGCCGCAGCACTGCGATCCAGGGAGTCGTCTGAGGTGGCACAGCGCGGCTCAGTGTGCCTGGGATCAGATGCCAAAAGCCACATGGCGTATGGTCTTCTAAAGCAGGACGCTGCCTCCCCGAAGAGCCACGTGAAGGTGCCATCAAGCGGCAGTTCGTCTCGACGTCAAAAAGCCGCAGTGGTCCTACGCCAGGCAAACCCCCCCCCCTCTGCCGCCCCTACCTACAAGGTAGCAAGAAGGTGGAAGTCACCCGAAACCATCCCAGGGTTCATGATCAGACCCATGCACACGGAAAACTCACAAACCTAAGCCTTTGAAGCGCCGAGCTGCTCTCCCACCCTCGCAGGTTGCCAGACAAGATGAACCGGATGTTTCGAATCTGCATCTACTTCTACCCCCAGTGTATTATTACAGGTCCCGTCGTCAGAACGTCGACTCCGCGCCTTCCGTCCAAAAACCCGCCGCTTCCTTCGCAGATGTCCCCGTATCGCGGCCAGCCCAGCACAGCCGCTGTGCCGGCAAGGCGAACATGACCCAAGTTGAGGTCGACCTTCACTTGATGTGTGCATGTGATGGGATGGCATGGCGACTCACTCGGAAAGGTGGCCACTTGGCCGAGGGTTGAGCTGAAAAGATCCAAACCAGTACCCCTCCGCCTCTGCCCCCTCGCTGGCGAAGCGTTGCGCCAGCAACGGTGCTGCGAAGATAGTAAGCTGACCTGATAGAGCAAATACGGACGAAGTTGCAGCTTTTCCAAACGAAGGCTCGGAAGGCGAGCCTCTGCAAAGGATCGCTGAAAGCAACTGGAGCAGCAGCCATTGGCCGTGGGTGCACATGGCTCATATCCATCTACGAATCTACTGCAGTGTGATTGCGCCGATCCCTGACGGACTGCATCGGCTGATTCGGGTAAGGCTGCTAAGTCGGCAAGGTCAGCGAGCTGGAACTGTTGGAGTGCACACCGAATAACATGTCAGCTGCAGAAGCCCGACATGAATCGCCGCATGAAGCAACATGGCAAGTCTGACAAGCGAACACATGAAGTCCAAACCACGTCGGAGTCTGCAAGCCTGACTTCAACACACCTGCATTCCTCAGCACGTCGTGAAACATGGGGAAGCTCTAGCCAGTGCACTTGGGACCTAGGACGTCAAATCACAAGTCAGTTGAGACAACGAGCCTTCATGTGCCGAAGCCCTGCTGCTAGCTCATGCACAAGCTGAATGCAGGGCTGTCGAGTTGCAGAGTCTTTTGCTCGGCCAGATCTCGAATCATCGAATTAGCTGGGAAGAAACACGAAAGAACATGATCTTGATGAACCCCTGAGACTGTCTCAAGAGCCGAAAAGATGATGACGGGGGAACCATAAGGCTGGTAGTGGCTAATGCAAAAGCTCATGCAGAAACTTGACATGTCTTGGTACACCGGCTCAGGCCACAACCTCGGAAAGGTCAGTGGGTGGGTGGTTCTTCATAGGAATCACGCGTTGAGGAAGCATGTACGGTTGCTTGTCTGGCAACCTTGAAGCAGAAGCAAAGGGTGCAGCACAAACAAGCTGAGATGTATGCCGGGGTGCTACAAGCGAAGAACAAGGACAAAACACGACTAAACTACGGGAATCGCGACGCATCGCTGAGACCATAGCCATAGCTGCCATAGCTGCTAAGCTCGGAGACGCTCAGTTCCCCGGCCTGCATCACAGAATGACGTTGCAATTGAGATGCCGAACAAAGAAGCAGCGTGCAGCCACAGGATGTTGGGTTGATCCTATTGTTCATGTTTTTCTTGCTCGTGCTGCTGGAAGCATGTGACATGTGCCATCACTTTCTCTTCCTTCGTCGTCGCCAGCCATGGATCCATCTTGCCTACGGCAGCGGGCACCGATGTCATGATCAATCTTCTGGATGGCCTCTACACCGGGACGGTTGATGGCTCAATGGTTGAAGTGGCTGTCGTTCTTGCAGTACATGCAGGGGCCAAACTTGCCACTGCTAGTGCTTGCTGCTGCCGTTGCTGCTTACAACGCTGGGCTTACACATGAGAGCACAGCACAACATGTTCAGTGAGAATTCGGCACCTTCACTTGCTGATGATCAGGAAGAAGGAAGGAACTGGGACTTGCAGCCACTGCTTGATTGACGGCAAGCCCACTTTTGCATGCCTGCAACCCGTTGTTCATGATTTTTATCATGGATAAAGTACGAAACCGAAAACAGAACTCGGACAGCCCCTGCTGCTGAGACTTGTGCCGGCAGCTTTGGAAGAAGAGGGGCAAAAATTTGGATTGCAACCAAAGTCAAGTGCATGACTTTGCCACCTGGGAGAAATCTGGGCCGCAGGACGGCTTCGGCACTCGGCTCGCATTTGAATGAGCATCTTCTTGCTGTTCACTAGATCTGAATTTGTCGGGTTTGCACCACACACACACGAACGAACAGCCGGCGAAACAACAAAAACTCACGAAACCAGCTCCCAAAATCGCATCGAGACGAAGAGGTTTCTCTTTGAATACCTTCTGCCCATATGGGTCAGAATTTTGGTAGCTCTTTCCGAGCGTCTGGTTCGATGTCGAAGGCATCTGCTTCTGGCCTCGAAGTTGCCGAAGCTTCTCAATTTGTTCACCTATCTCTGCCTCTTTATGATCAAGAAACTCGCGCCTCTCTTGGAGCGTCTGGTTCCACTTGTCGATCTCCGCGATGTCCTTGTTCATCTCTGCCATGTCGTTCTGAAGCTTCTGCCTTTCACTATGCAGAAACTTGCTTTTCTTTTGGAGCGTCTGGTTCATCTCAGCCATTTCACGATCAATCAACTTGTGATGGCTTTGCAGCGTCTGGTTCTGCTTCTCCATCTCTGCCATGTCATGTTGAAGCTTCTGCTTTTCACTATCCAGAAGCTTGCTTTCATTTTGCAAAGTCTGGTTCCTGTAATCAAGAAACTCGCTCCTCGCTTGGAGATGCTGGTTTGTCTTTTGGAGCGTCTGACTCCAGCGATGAAGCTGCATCTGTGTCCAGCACCCATACATAAGAACAGCCACAACGACCACAATCTGTAGGACCACAATCTGTAGCCAGGAAGACTTCAACCAGGCATTTTGCACAGTTGGATGATTTTGCTGTTCTTGCACTTCATGCGGTTGCTGCTGGGGTTCACGGGATGCCGGCAACCATCTCTGGCGTCACGTATGGATCGTAGTCGTTCCACACTTCGACCGGGTGGGACGAAAACTCGCGAAAGATGTGCTGCGTTTCACGCTGGTGTTCACTCCAGCTGGCTTTTGCTTCTCTCGTTGTCGGACAAACAACAAAGGTGATCCGGCTGCCCAACCTTTGCTTCAAAGTGGCGCAAGGCTCGACGTTTCTCGGGCAATGGCTGGGGTTGAACCACAAGTAGCTGGAGTTCCCAGTGATGATTAGAAGGACAAACGCATGCGTTCTGGTCTCGTCTTCATTGATGGCTTCGTCCACCTGTCGCATGTCCACGGGAAAGTGCTCTGAAAAAAGGAAGCGCTCAATCTGTGCCGCGGGATGATATGGAACAAATTGGGTCAGCGCTTTCTCGGTCCTCAGCACAAACATGGATTTTGAAAGCGAACATGTGGCAAGTGCAAAAGGTTTGCATGGTTATGTGTAAACACATGCGAACCCTGTCACCGTCAAACGAAATGCATTCCTTAGAATCTTAGAACAACGCCGCCACAAAGCCAAAGCGCGTTGAGAAAATCAAACACTTCGATTCCTGCACCATCTTCGCAATGGAGCCGCGCGCTGTAACCCAGTTACTTGGCGGACTGTAAGCCAAACGGCTTGTTCCGCATTGTTCGGCCGGCAGCGTGGCGACCCCTTTGTGTCGTGTTCGATTTGCTTTCATTTTCCATAGCCTGCAGATCTTCAGATGGCGTATACTTCTGGAATAGCCATGATCAGTGGCCAAACAACCATCAGCAAACAATCTGCCTCCAGGCTTTTCCAAGAACGTGCTTCATCAAAGCTATAGTTACACTCATCAGATGGTCACTGGTCTGTGAGGGCTTTCTTTCTTTGGTCTGCTGCTTGATGGAGATCTTCACTGCGACTGTTCACAGCACTTCATCCACCTGCGCCTGCACAGCTTGGCTTCGAACCATGTTGGGCCATTGATGGTTCCAGCGCCAACCTGGCAAAGAATGTAAAACTGACTGCAATACTGACTGCAAGTCAACCAAAGCTTAACTGATCGGCCATTGGCCAACCTTTCATCAGCCGTTGGTCAGCAGTTACCGGCCCTTCCTGACAGCTTATCCCAGGTGATGGGGGCATGATGGCAGCTTTTGATGATCCTCATGTTAGTGATGATGGTGGTGATCATGACAATGAGATAGTAACAGTGATCAGGATATTGATCAGGATAACTGATGATCATGATACTGATCATGATAACGATAGTGACCATAATCATAAACATGATAATGATCATGGTACCAGTAATGATCATGGAGAATGTTGATTAGGCAGGTGTGATGCACATTCAAAGTTCGACTACCATCAGGCCGCGAAAGTGGAAACAACTCCTCGAGATCGTTCCGCTGTTAGTGAAGGATGTCATCATGCATAATTCCAATTGTCACTTGGATCCACTTTTTGCGGAGCGCAACCCTAACTCCTGCAACCTTGCACCAGCCTTGGTCCACGGGAAGTCTGATACTCTCTCGCATTCCTGTCGCAACTTCTTGGCCAAATCTGTCAATCATGCCTTTGTATTGCCGATTTCGGTATCCTGGCTTCTCCTGGACCTGTGCGAGTTGCCACTTGCATTGCGTTCCTGTGTGTGTCTGCCACGCCGATTCATTTTGCAATCGTTTCATTGTTTTTGACACTCTGCCTCGCCTTTTAGCATCTTCGCGTTGCTGAACACATGCCTAGTAAAGAGAATTGAAAGCCACCTCACAGCAACTTGGCTCCCAATGTGCTTCGTTGGGAGACCTTGCTTGTGGAACCACACCAACATTCTTATAGAAATGGGCTGTAGGATGTTAAAGGCATGCGGTCTGTGTGTGTGTGTGTGTGTAAATGTGCAGTACTGAAATGAACTTCTGAGACTGACACAACGAAAGCAAGAAATGCCTACCATTCAAGCACAAGCTACCGTTGGAAGCAAGCTTGCACCGTCTGCTCACAGATTCGCAGTGTGCGTGGACAACAAAGTCAATCTCAGCGTGCGCCTCTGCGCCGATGTCGCCGGCTGTTCGCGCGACTACGCACGTGTTGGTCTGCCTGTGGATTTCGGTTGCAAAAGCAAGTTGCCACCCAAAGTCCATTGCGTCATCCAGCAATATTCTGCAGACCACATAAGAGAGCCAAGACGGCGACTAGAGAGGTGTCGCGATTTGCCAAGTGGAGAGTGCAAGCCAAGACTCCAGCCAGCAAAGACTGCAACCTGGCAAGACTGGGTCACTCAGCCGCCTGACCACTTGCAAAGTCCAAGACAAAACCGCAACATGGAAAAAGTGGTGTTCGGATTGCTTCTTCAAGAGCTAGCTCAAAAATTGTGAAGAAGGGGGGCTGGGCCCCAGACCTTCG